AAAAAAAAAAAATGAAAACTCTCCAAGCATAGAAAAATTTAGAAATGGCATGTTTTAAAATGAAAAGTGAAGATATGTTATATTTACCAATACTAAAAAAATATGCTATAAATCTCAAACTTTAATAGCAAATCTAAAATATGCTATTTGCAACATTTTCTCTAAAAAACAATTAAACGCAGTTTTAGAAATCTTTTGGATTCTAAAAAAAAATCACATTTTTATTTTTCTATTCAATATAAAACTATTTTGACAACAATATCAAATGCGCCTAATTTTGTCCTTTTCACCTTTTTTTTATCTTTTAATTACAAACTCTCTAGCGGTTGACTGTTGGTTTTGAAAAGAGAGGAGAAGTTATTATAGTTGACCCCAAAAAAGAGTTTAGATGATCCGAAACATGCAACCACCTATGCTGTCCAATTTTTTTAAGAGAAAATTTCACTATTAAATTAGCAAATTATATAAATAGTCGTAAATTACCACAAATTATAAGGAAATTTCTTAATGTTAAGTATGATGGTGAGGGGCACTTTATTCCATAAATAAGTAGGTTTGAATGTTATATATGTTGAAGTCCGAGCTCCGAGTGATCCTTGTATCATTGAATAGTTTTATCTTGTACTATTGTTAATATTTCCCTATATTTTTATTACATTTTACTTTTTTTAAATTTTGAAGCGTCCTAATTAATCCCATTAGTTGATTGATGTATTCATTCAGCCTCATAATAATATCACAAGAATTATTTTCAAATTAAAAAAAATATACATATCACGAGATCTTGATGAAATCCGAATTCTAAGATACACCGTATATGTAGTTGGAGAGTGGAGACAGCCGTTTAACAATAATTAAAAGTATATTCACGCCTACCTTTAATAATCCGGACATTTAGGAAATCACCATCCAAATGTAACATAAAAAATTCCAAAAAGTATAATCAAGTGAAGCTAAAATAAAATTTTAATTTAAAAAAAATTAAAAAATTTATCTCTAGTATAGACATTATTCGCGAAGGAAAAACAAATAAAAAAAATAAACTAGCTATGAAATATGTACATATAGAAAATAAATTCCCCATTTTAGCCATTTAAGAAGCCATCAACCTTGTTGTTGACCGAAGCAGAGAGGAACTTCATGCAGATGGGCGCATTGACACCGGCGAGGGAGAGAATCGCGGCCGGAATTCCCCACAACGACTCGCCGCAGATGAGCCCCGACGCAACCGCCGGCGCTAACTCGTCGGCCTTTCTCTGGTTCAACCTTCGCCACGCAAAGAGAATGAAGCTCCCCAAGCACATGTCAATGGCGAAGTACCCGCCAAGATAAAACGGAATCGCCATGCACATCGCACTGGGGACGAACCTGTAAATCTTGTGCTTGGTCTCGAACCGCTGCAGCAGCTCGCGCGCCAAGTTCAAAGCGACCGCAAATGCAAAGAAAGCGATGCAGAGCGAGAAGCAGTTTTTGGGAAACGATGAGAGTCCTTCGACGCCGAGGAGGGCAATGCCGCGATACATCAGTCCGTACGGCGCCGGGTACGAGCTTCCAGGCTCTCCGACGTTGTAGGCCTTGTAGAAGAACCAGAAGACTAACGGCGAGACGAGACATCCGATGGCGGTGCCGATGACTTGGCTGAAGAACATGGCGCGAGGAGAAGATAGAGTTAGGTATCCGGTTTTGAAGTCCTGCATGAGGTCGGAGGCGGTGGAGACGATGCTCATCATGACTCCACAGGAAGCAAGGCCAGCGACGATGCCGCCGTTGTCGAGACCGACCCAGGCGCTGAAGAGGATGATGGCGAACTTACCGTAGTTGGAGGCGAGGGACCAGTCGGTGAGGCCGCAGCCGTAGGCGTTGCAGAAGGCGAGGACGGGCGCCATTAGGTAGGCGACGAGGACGTGGTGCCAGATGAGCTGAGGGAAGATGAAGGGGACGGTAATGGTGGATAAGATGGCGAGGGTAATGTAGCCGATGATGGCGGCCCACGTGGGGATTTGGTCCTTGAGGAAGTAGTCGGTTCGCCGCTTCTCATCGTAGTTTTCGAGTAGGGCTCTGGCGGCGGGAGAGGCGCAGGGGGAGGAGGGAGTTGAAGTAGTACTGCTTATGTCGGAGTTGGTGCTTGAGGGTGACTCTAGTGATTTCTTGTTTAATTGGTGTTTTACTAGGCTGTATCCTGTCTTGCATAGCATATACGCGACGTGGAATATGCCATCTCCAAGCATCATGGCGATCGCAATGAAAACCTGCCATGAAAATATAAGTGGACGTTTAGTTCATGTATTCAGAATTATGATTTAAAATTTTTTCGGTTTACGTGTATTTTTTGTGAAAAAAAATACTGTAGCGAACCACAAACCAAATATACCCACCAATCAAGAGTTTGTTTAATTAACAGGATTTCTGACTAGTTGTAAAACATGAAAAATGTTAGCATCACTCTTTTTGTTACTTTTTGAATTCATTGTTTAACACGTAGACTTCACTATCTCATTTTCTATTTAAATAATAACATATCGTGTTAATAGAATCCAAGTGTCAAAAACAATGAATATATAAAGTGACAAAAAAGAGAGTAACACTAGCCTCTTTCTCGTAAAACATATATATAATATACTTCTTTGATATATGGTTTTTATTTTTATTTTATTAAGAAGTGCGTATTCTATCCTTAATTGTTTAAAATACTATTAATTGAGACTTTTAGATGATCTTATTAAAGGTGGCTGATATGTCAATTAGCACGGATAACAAATCATTTGAGCTAAATTATAAGAGATGAATATGTGTGTATATATATACACACACACATATATATATATATAGAAGAGAAGTAGAGAAGGAAATTTACCCTATAACCTTGGATGCCATGAAGACTGCTGGGAGATAATTCAGCACTGTACCAGTCACCTTTCTTTTGTTCAATTAAAGGCCACATGATTCCCCAGGACAAGACAGCTCCAATAAGCAGAGATATATTTACCATATAAGGGCAAATCATGCCAACACCAACATATGTCATTGAAAAATCATAGTAGAACCTGCCAAATAAAGAAATTATACATGTGTTAGGATTGTCATTCATAAGCATAACAAAAAACAAAAAAAAAGTAGTACATATGTCATTGAAAAATCATAGTAGAACCTGCCAAATAAAGAAATTATAGATGTGTTAGGATTGTCATTCATAAGCATAACAAAAAACAAAAAAAAAGTAGTTAGTAAGAGTTATGCCTCTGTGCGTAAGCTTGGAGACCGAAAGTTGGGAAATTGGAAAATCCACAGCCGTCAGCCGCAGCGAAGAACCACTGGAAAAACGCAGACACAAAACTAAAACCGAACGCTTTGAAGAGAGCTGAAACTTGTTTCCTGCAGCATATATAATATTTGTTATAGATGTGCATTAGAATTTATGCTGGTCATATATATATATATAAGGCAACAACTTGCAAAATGACGTTTAAGAGTCTCACTTTTTCTTAATTTTGGTCCCTCCATAGTATAAAACTTGCATCTATGAGGGACCTTTTATTACTATTATTATTATTATTATTATTATTATTATTATTATTTGGCGATTGGAAAACAAAGAATAATAATGATATATTGCTTACTTTGCAAGCTTAGCTCCTTTAGGCGTGTGAAAGCTATTGATGAGGTATGCAGTAGCGGTTCCACTTGGATATGTTAACTTGTACTTCATGATCATCATCTATATTGAAAATTACAAGAAAAATTAAACACTAATAATAGTCGAAATATGGAAATTAATTAATCATATGGTCGAAACGATCTATAAATCAATATTTTTATTTTTTATTTTTGTTCCTTTACCTTTCTAAGGGGCACAATAGAGAATAAGCCTACAAAGCTAACAACAAAGAGATATCCAATCATCCAGCCAAGAGACAGTTGCTTGACGTTGATTGGAGTGTTTCCTTCTTCTCCTTGAGCCGCTATGTTCGCACTCATTCCCAGTAAATAACTTGCAGTGCCACCTATATATTTTCATATAACATATCGACATTATATATTCAAACTATAATTAAGTACACAAATTATGGCTTTCAGAAAAATAAATAAATATTTATGACAAAGTTGATTGCAATAGTGATAATTATGGTGGTGGTGATGATATAAAATAATAATAATAAATACGTTTAATTGAATGTAGAATTTAGAGTTTAAAGTACGGTATAAGTACTCATTACAAATCGTTAATGGACATTATAAGACCAGAATTTGTTTACTTCAGTTGCGCTCATTATACAAGAAACAGCTCAAATCTCAATCATCAAACCAAAAACTAATAATAATAAATCTAAATGAGTAAAATCAGAGGCATACGATACAAAATAACAATATTATACAAAGAAACACAATTTTTCCTTTTATCTGAAGATGCACATCCTTACAACAGATAATAATAAACTTTAATCAAAATAATATATATGCATAAGATAGCATATGGTATGTTTAGTAGTGATTTTTGGAGCCCAAAATTAATTCTCTAACCATCTACAGGTAAAATTTGTGTTTAGTAAAAACTATAAAAAGTGATTCTTAAACAATTTTTGAAGAATTTATGGTCAAAATCGGAAGCAGTCCAAAGGCAGGCAATTTTGACTTTTAGATTGTGCGGCAATCACATTGAAGTATAATTAATGAAACTTTCATAATATCCATAATACCTCTAAAATTAATAATTGTATAATTACAGTTGACCAAACACTCAGCTATTTTTTATAACAGCTGTTTTTTTTTCACACAGCTAATAACAATTTTTTAAAATTTACAACACTACTACCAAACTGGCCCATAGTAAGTTTTATGTTTGAGAAAAAGAAAAAAAAGGAAAGAAAAGTAGTGACATACTGCTAAAGGCGATTCCGGAGGAAGCGACAACGCAAGTCTGGATAACAGTATTCTCTTGGCGAGTGAAGGGCTGTTTCAAGAGACCAGCCTTGTCGAGCACGGCGGTGTATCCCTTCACCACCGCGAATCCCAACAGCCCCGCGGCGACGTTGAGCGACGGAATAACTCCGGTGGTGAGGTTGAGTTTGCAGACGATGAAGTTGAAGACGACACTCAGCACGAGGCTCGTCACCATTGATCTCACCGTTATCTGCTTCGTCCACGGCGGCACGGCCGTGTCCACGAAGGCTTCCTCTCCCATGGCCTTATGGATGATCTGACGTCGGCCATGGTGGGCCTCCACATCTTCATCGCTTCCGTTGGTTTCTAAGTCCCTAGGGTTTCTCTGATCCATTGTTTTCACTTTACGTACGTGAAAAAAATATGAATAATAATTATGCGAGAGATAAAGACCCTTTTAAATAGGTGGTGAAATGTGAATGTGATATTCTTGTGGAGTTAAATTTTAAGTCGGAATCCATTTGTGTGACACGTGTACTTCTCTAATTGGAGAAAACGTGAGTGGAGAAAAGAGTACAGTGATTTTTAAGTGAATGCGAAAGTCATTCAAACTTGTAAACAATGCGATACTTGCGGATGTATTTATCCGTAGAGTATACCAAGTTTTTTTTTTTTTCATTTTTTTACGGTGAGTGGATACTATATATAGTCAATTAAGCATGACTATTTGTTTGTTTGAATTAACAATAATAAAAAGGAAGCAAATCTCTTCTTGGTCATAAAAAAAAGGACTATTGGGGTGATTTTCCCACCCCAAAAAAAAAAAACGCTTTTTATTTAGATAAGTCCTAAAAGAGAATTTGCCAGAGAGATCAGATAGAAAGAGAGAGAATTTGCCTTGATTAAGTGAGTTTTAAAAAAAAAAAAATTAATGTGTACATTACATAAATGAGAAAGAACAAAATGGGGATGATTTTTTTTTTAATTCCGTTTTAAATTTGTAAAAGAGAGTTTATCATCCAGAGATGAGAGATAATAACTAAAGAAAGGGGAAATACCATAATTAGAGGTATCATTAAAAATTAATAGCATAATCTTTAAGGTGAGTTAGTAAATAGTAAAATATTTGTAAATTATATTTACCATAGTAGAAGATATCAAAATTATCCTTACATAAATCAAAAACCCATTCTCTCTTTATTTATTTTTCTTCTTCTTTCATCTCAAACCCTTTTTCTCTCTATATTGTCCTCTCCCTCCATCAATCTCCTCCCTCTCTCTCGTTGGAACAATCGTTATCGTCACGAGAAGCCTGTACTCGTCAAACCACTTTAATTTTAGTTTTTTTTTTTTTTTTTTTTAATGTCTTCATTATTTTTTTTTTCTCTTTAGTAATTTGATTCTCTTATTTTGATTACTTTAATCGCTTTAACACTTTTCATTTACTAATATATGTATTTATTCTTAAATGTTTGTAGGAGATATTTATTATTTTGAATATAATGTTTGATAAAATAGAAATAAATAAATAAAAAGCATGTATTTCACTTGTATAATAAAGAATAATACTTTTAATAACTATTGATATGTGTGAACTATAATATTTTTTCCTAAATTTTTAATAACAACTATTTAAAACTATAAAATAATTGGAATATATTTACGACGACTGTCGTCGCAAATAATTCGTCACAAAAACGTTATTTGCGACGACATTGTGACGACATAGTGTCGTCGTAAATGTATTTGCGACCACAATTGTCGCTAATACGTTGTTACAAATTTCTAGTGATATAATCTATTGTTTGCAACGACATTTCAAATTGTCGTCGCAAGCAAATAATCTTTTTTTTTGCGACGAAAAGTCTAAAAGAGTCATCGCAAAAAATTGAAATTAATTTTTAATATTTTTAATTAAATATTATTATGTTACATACTGAATAGAATTTATTAAGATACATTAAAAGTGAAATATAAATTAATATTAAAAACAGTAAATCTAAATAAATTTATAAAATATATTATAAATACTACATGAAGTGCATATATAATGTTCAAAAAAAATATAGAAGTCTAAATAAAGTGAAAAATAAAAAAATACATATAACGGAACTAATCGTCTAAGTTGCAGCATCGCCAGCATCTGAATCATCATCAGGACCGTCATCATCTGAAGGAGTCAGAGGAGCGTCTAGGTCAACTGATTTTGGACGATCAATCGTAGGTAATTGGATGTTGGGCTGCAATTTAACCATCAACTCTAACACCTTCACCTGATTCTCATAAATCTTAACTTGTTGCCGATACGATTTTTCTAAATAACGACGCAAATGTGGGTCAGGTTGAGCCGATGATGTTGCGTCCGAGTATGCACCAGCAGATGACGAAGAAGCTCCGGAGTAATACTTTTGCGAGAGCGTCGGACCCAGTCCTATGTTGTGTTCTCTACGCATGCTAAGAACTTGCTCTAAAACCCCATGCTCATTAAAGACGGGTCTAGTCGAGCTTGAAATAGACTGTATTCTCTGCGTTTGTCTCTCCTCCTCCAAGGTGTTCTTCATAATAAGACATTATAATTATTTATACGTGTTATAAAATCACTATTTCAGAATAAAAAAATTTAAGATGAAAAATAAAAATATTTACAAAAGTCTGTTCTGCTTGGGGATTAACCTAAGAGGCCCCGCTACGATGCATGTCCCCCCAATTATCTATGGCAGACTGCGTCTGGATCTGCGTTTCTCTTTCTCCCTTCATCTGATGCTACAAATATTATAAAAAATAATTAAATACATAATGCGATTTAAATAAAAAAATATAATTAAATATTACGAGTATACTTACAAAAATTTGCTCAGCTTGGGGATTAACCCAAGTATCCCTACGACGATGCATGTCCCCCTTATTATCGATGACGGACATCGGCTGTTGAGTCATTGTAGTAGACTGTATAGTAGTTTAAATGTATATGAATATAATGTAATCAATTACCACATTAACATTTATATTGAATAAATTATTAACAAATACTTACTTTCTTCTCGTCAACAGGTTCATTGATAACTGCAGCAGCATGTACTTCATCATGGTGAATCCATGTGGTGTAACTTGTATCAAAACCCCATCGATGTATGTGCGCTTTCACTGTTTCGGGTGGAAACATCTCATGATTTCTACACTTCATACACGGACAACTAATACCCCCGAGTGAATTTGCATAATTCTTTCCAACCTCAATAAAAGTACACAAACCATCCCAGTACTCATCAGACAACCGGTTCCTTAAATGTATCCAACTCTTGTCCACAGACATCTCAACTACGAAGAATTTATAAAGTTTTATCAAATTTTATGAAAATTAACACAAATTATTTTATAATAAGTATTTATCATTAATTTATTTAATTATTCTATTATTAATATAATCCTAATTAAAAATTTTATCTAATTTTTTAATTATCACATAATTATCATAAAACAAATTTCATACAAATTTTAATCTAATTATCATATATTTCAGTTTCAATTCTAATTTAAAATTCACAATTCTAAATTCAAAACCACAAATTATATCCAAAATCTAAAACAAAATCATAAACCATAACAAAAATACCAAAATCAATTAACAAAATACCAAAATATTAACTCACAAAATTCAAACCCACAAACACCGGGGGTTGGAGAACGGTAAGGCAACAAAATAGGAGGGCGATGGCGGCCGGAATAAGGGGCGGCGACGGCCGGAATAAGGGGTGGCGGCAGCCGGATTAAGGGGCAGCGACGGCCAGATTAAGGGGCGGCAACAACGAGGAAGAACTCCGCTTTTTTGAACTATTTCGCAATATTTTTCACCACAAATGAAGGATTTGAATAAAGAATGAAGTATTTAAGCTTTTTCGGAGGTTTTGGACAGTATGTGGTGATTTTGGACGAAGAGAAATGAAGAAAACAGAGAGAGACGCCGGAAAAAATGGAGGAAACCAATATGAGATCGTGTTTATATAGGCTAGTTTTTGCGACGACAATATGTCGTCGCAAAATATATTAAATTGTCGTCGCAATTGTAAGAAAAACGACGTCATTCTTCTTCACCCCATTAATATTTCTGAAAATATTCTTGAGGAATATACCCGTGTTATTTTTTGCGACAACTTTGTTAAAATGTCGTCGCAAATAATTTTAAAGAAACCGCCAAAGTTTCCGCTCTTTTTTTTAGAGAAAATTAAATTCTCACTTATTTGCAACGACATTATTAAACAAGTCGTCACAAAAAATAGTCGTACTTGATAGAATTTTCTAGAACCCTTTTTTATGACGACACGTGTCGTCGCAAAAACAGTCGTTCTGAAAAGATTTTTCTGGAACCATTTTTTGCGACGACTTTTCAATATGTCGTCATAAAAAATAAAGAAATATCTGAAACCTTTTCTCAATTGGTGTCTAACCAATCATATCATACCACGTTATATAAAAAATTTAACTTACTTTTTAACTAATTCTTTTATACTTATCGTAGGATGATATGGTGTGATTTGATTAGTTAGACATCAATTAAGACACTAAAAATTAAACAGATGATCTAAATCCATTTAGGATTGAGGAAGAGCAGGAGTTTCGGTAAAGATAAGTTCACGTAGTATGAGCCGAGCTGTCTGAAGTGGATGAGGGAGAGAGAAAAGATAGCGTGATCCGGCTAAAAAAAGCATCCTTCAACAGCAAAGGGCACAGAGACAACCAGACATATTCAAGAATGGTAAAAAGCATTATAAGCCCGAGCAATTAATCATCTTGAAGTTAGAAAACGTAGAACTTGTCAAGCATGCATGCATGGATATGGGCAGGGTTTTGGCGTGAGATGGTAATGGTGGGAAATGAAGGGCTAGTTATAAGAGAGGAATTGAGTGTTTTTAACAATTGTTCGGGCGAGCGACTGCAACACTACGTTCCCTCTTTAGCACGCTGTTTCAAGTGCTTTTTAGCTCATGAACAGCTCAAGTAATTCAACCAAAAAAAAAAAAAAAAAGAAATTAGTGAATTCACTCTTTAAATATAAATGTATTATTTTAAGATTTTTATCATTTACTCTTAATTAATAACTTTTTAACTAATATGATTTTTTTAACTAAAAAAAAAAAGGTGAAAATCAACAAATACCTAACCATCGTTTTGTAATCTAAAAATTCTAGTACAATAAAACCTCAATACATGAATGTTCGATAAATTAATAACCCCGATTAAATAACAAAATCTTTTAGTCCCGACTTAGGCTAATGTATTAAATTAATAATCTCGCTAAATGCATAAAATTTTTTTTTAAATCTTTTAAGACCCAACGAAAAATATAAATTAATAATTAATCAAATACAAAAAAAAA